AGGGATATAGAAATTGAGAATTTCCACAACAGTGCTGATTGTCATAAATGCATGCGTACAATTAAATAGAGCGGATTGTTTTACAATACAATGCGTAAGTCATTTGCTCTGAATCACGGTTGATTTATCGAAATTTCTATTTATCGTTATCTGCCCGGTTACACATCGATAATAATCGTTTTCTCCTCTCTTCACGTTTATTCGTGGTCTGTATTTTCTATTTATCTCAATTCATGATAAAATTCAAATCAAATGTGATTCAATTTCTGAGAATAAAATAAGCTGAATTCCGTTAATTTTAGATATTAATATATTTATTATTATAGTATTTTATTATTAATATCTAATAACAATACAAATTTTTTTATCGAATTCTGTTTTATTGAAAATATTTGAAAATTCAAAAATATATAAATTATTTCAGAGGTTTTGTAATAAGATCGTTTTTGTTATTTCATTATTTCAAGAAGTGACTTTTGGTGTAATAGGTACAATATTGACGATGTTGCAGTACTTCCGTTAATTGTACCATCAATGTTTCGAACGAACCATCAGATGTTCCGTAAGTTGGATGTAAAAATAAAAGAAAGAGGCGTACCGGGAGTCGTAAAAATTCTCTTACGTGCCTTCTTCGAACCTGAAGGATTCATAGCGTAGAAATATAAGACTGCCCGTTGTTAAACCAAGAAACGTAAACGTACGTTCAGAATGCATTACTTAGAGAAAGTATTTAATCAAAAACCTCTCATGGAAAGAGATTTTTGTGAAAGTGATAATGTTACGTAACGAATTTGCTAGGAATACTGGAAAATTTTGCGATTATAATTCACGATTTATTGTCTCGCAATAATTAATTTGGATCATTAAACATCTATATGATTAAAACAGCTTATTGCAACTTTTACAATTTAAGGAAGACAACTAAAAATATGATGATACCATCAATTTTAGTTTAAACTAATTAAAATTAACAATATTATAATAGTCATTTTTTCAGAAAATAAATTATTCTATCTATATAAAAAATATAATACTCGATATTATAAATATAACACCGAACCTTTTATAGTTAAACTATAAGATGTAAAATAAAATATAACAATATTGGAACTATTAATAACACTAGATCCTCACTATAAATATTCTACTACCTCACTATAAGTTCGAAGGATTTAATTGAAAAAACAATATAGATTCGATGTGGCATACCGATGAGCTTTTTCCTAAAATAGATGGAGAGTGCGATCTTAATAGGAAGCCAATAGTCTCCTCAGTGCAATTTACGGCAGCCAACCGACAAGCCATCCTATAGTATAAGACTTTAAAGTGGTCTTCTCGAGAAATGTACGAGAGGTAAGAGAGCTTGGCCCACGGGCCGACCAGAAGCATTATGCCGCCTCATCAGTCGAAAGATGCATTAGCATTGCTAATGACCCGCGATCGTTACAGCCACACGCCGCAGCTACTATCCACGCTGCTTTGCGCGCAACGTGTTTGTTATTTGGAAGTGGGCCATGGTGAACTAGAGAGAGAAACAAGACTTCTAAAGAGGGTGAGAGAAATGAAAGACCAGCGTCCCTGTTACCAGCAATAATTTTCGTATGACAATATCTTGCAACGTCACATAGATATGCATCCATTGTTTCATTTGACTAAAACACTAACGAATACATCATTCAGCTCGGCCAACCATAGAACAGAATTTCCCGTTGCCTTTTACGCCCATTCCCATGGCTATTAACAAATTGATGCGTCAACCTTTCCCGTTCTCCCTCGTTTTTGTGGATTTCAAGCGCTTCTTGCGAAATATCTTCCGTAATTCTGTAAAATGTCCGCGCGTAATCCATTCAATTAAGGTTATTGTTTTATCATGATAAATACGATAGAAAATTTACAGTGAAATGAGCGATTCCCAGTTATTAATCGTGAAGAAATATACCGCGTACGTTTGCAAATTTGATATAATGTGTACATACAGTAAATATTGAATCACAGAGATATTACAGAGCTGAATTACTTACGATCAATAAAACCATTTTGTAATTTGCACATCCCTTTGTACGCGTTCTCATTTATAATTTTTCGATGATGAAATCGATCGTTATTTCGAACACGTTTACGAACGTATGCATATTGTATCCCACAACAGCAACAGTCTGATTTCACTTGGAAAACCTGGAATTTTCCAGCCACAATAAAATATTGCGCCGATCACCTTCTATCTCTTCTTTAAAGGCATATTTATATTCAGGGCGCGCACGAGTCTGCTTGCTTTCTTCTATTATCTTCCAGCGTGCCCAGCTTTAGAACCCCCTCGTCTCACCTCGAGAATAGCTGGTAAAAAGTAATTAAATTTTCCCGTGATGTGGTGATTTTGATGATAATTGTTATTATATTTTTCAAAAGATAGTGAAGAGCAACGAAAACGAATAAAATAGTACAGGCCGCACGCATTGCGCGACATTTTACGACCGTTTCGAGGCTAATCCCCGCGCTAATTAGACATGAAATGAGCAAGTTACGTCACCCAGCGAAAGACAAAAACACCCGTTATGCGAGCGACACAAGCTATTCTAGAAACAAATGCTCCACACGTATTACAGAAATCCAGCTTTGAAAATATGTCACTGGTAGGTGATGATAGGCATGCTTTCAGAGATAAAAGATTAGAAGATATGAGCAGATACTCGTTGAATATTTGTTTTTTTCTTTTAT